TTAATTTAATTATTAATCCGATTTCTGAATTACTTGTTTAGAGTATTTTTATGACACTGATCAATCAATTATTGGCTATCATTTCCCTTATTTAAGGGTGGTGCCCTGATAATATTAATTAAAGTCATTTTCTGTTATCTTTTGATAATAAATACACTTTTATAACCAAAATTAATTGATTACACTAATACAGTTAAACTACTGTAGTACCAACAAATGGTACCTCTGTGATTTATCATTGCACCTACACATATGTATCATGTCTAGATGTATAAAAAAGCCTATGGAACCCATACCCCAAACCCAACAGGAAGTTGGCCATTTTGAATTTAATGTCCAATTTTGGTGCCATTGTTTTGCTATTTCTAGGTGTTGTACTGAAATGAACCCCTCCTAGGGAATTGATCAGATTGTCTTCAAAATTGGTGAGTAAACTTTAAAAAAGTTCATGATGAAAAGTTGTCAAAGTCTTAAGATTACTTTAAGTGTCCATGGCGTCAAAAATCAATGTTCCACCAAGAAAGGAATTGTTCTAACTTCTGTGTACTTTGTTCAATCTGCACCAAACTTCACGTCTGATAGGAGTTCCACCCAGAACACGTCTATGTGATAATATTCAATCATACTCATAGCACCACCATATGGCACCAGGAAATGTCATGTTTTATACTTTCATGTACAACTCCTGCTGATCAGATCCAGCAGCCATTTGGTCAGAAAACCCTTAAGACCTTAATGATGACGTTATGTATCTAATTAATTTTTGTTGTTCAATTTCAATGTACCACCTGGAAACAGGAAGTTGTTACAACTTAAGGATACATTGTCCAATCACCAACAACCTTCAAGAAATTAATACATGCCAACATTTGGTCATCACATAGCACCATCTTTTCCAAACAGAAGTAAGACTTGTGTGGCAACCATCATCTGATTTATGTGAACTTTTCACAATGTCATCTACACATGATGCTGGTGCATGACATAACTGCAACATGCCCTGATGTGTGCAGACTGCGAGGGCCCAATCATTGCCGCTTGCAGCTTTCATTTGTTAAAGCTATGAGAGCTTTTGCAAGTAGAACACGCATGTGCGAATATACTGGCCATATGCACTTGTTAGACAGATGGTGGCCCATTGGAATATTTGAATGTACTACCAACCCTAGATTGCAATTAACCTCATAATGGTTATGCTTAAATATGCCTTATAACAATGTTTGCACCATTTTGTTTCTGGGAATTTTTGGTATTTTATTTTGGTTTGTCAGTTTGTCTATATTTCAACTCCAGATTCAATATTAGTATTGCTGACACAGAATACAGCGGGTAAAATAAGTATTGAACACGTCACCATTTTTCTTTTGTAAAAGGTGCTATTGTCATGAAATAATATAAATAATGCAAGAGCAGAAAAAGATGATGGACAAACTGGATGTATTAGAATCGAGGTCCAGACGGAATGATCTTTTTCAGCAGTTTGAGCTACAGTAGCTCGTCTGTTGGTTCGGACTACTAAGGCCAGCCTTGGCTTCCCACGTGCATCAATGAGCCTTGTCTGCCCATGACCCTGTCTCCAGTTCACCACTTTTCCTTCCTTGGAGAACTTTTGATTAGGTACTGACCTCTGCAGACCGGGAAACCCCACGGAGAGCTGCCAGGTTTGGAGATGCTCTGACCCAGTCGTCTAGCCGTCACAATGTGGCCCTTGTCAAAGTCGCTCAAATCCTCACGCTGCCCATTTTTCCTGCTCACTTGCTGCCTTATATACACCACCCACTGACAGTATGGTATGATAACCAGATAATCAGTATTATTCACGTCACCTGTCAGTGCTCATAATGTTATGGATGAGGGGTGTGTTATTTGCAGCCTGAAAATCCGCCTGATCCAATCAGAACAAAATTTTCACTTTCACTAAAAAATACAAAACTGACATGTTTTCTGGTTTTAAAGGTAATGTTTATTTGTTCAAGACTGTAAAAGTCTATCGTATCCTAGGAAAATCTTGGGTCTTTCTGACAGATGCCATCACAGATGCCACCTTGTAGTTGCTGGGGCACACAACAACCATATGTCCAGAGAATTGAAAAAAGAAAATGATCTTGAAAACATGTATGCTGTCAGTCACAGTGCTGATGCCTCATTAAAATTATGATACCTATCGTGACATTTCCTTTCTAATGAATGTGGACCGCATCAAGAAGTTCCAGTAATTGGGATAATATACCATAGGAAAAAAACAACATAACATTAACAAATCTTTTAAACATATTTTAGAAACTGATGTTGATTTAAGTAATTTATTTTACACTTATGTATAATGTTCTAAAAAAAAACTTAACTGAACCCTAGTGTAGGGTCAAATGAGACCTTTTAATATGAACTTGTTCATTTGGTGTGGTTAACTGGACTTTCATTGTGACGGGTTACTTGTCACCTCATTTGGTCACTTCCTGTGACCGTAGCCTGATGCAGAGCTCACTCTGTAGAGCAACGAGTGAAATGCCTTTCCTCTTTCAATTTTCAATTCAATTCAATTTTATTTGTATAGCGCCAATTCATAACAGAAGTTATCTCAGGACACTTTTCAAATAGAGCAGGTCTAGACCGA